CGCATGCGGAAGTTAAGTTTTAAAATAGCCGCCGGATTAGCTCTGATGTTCAGAGCCAAAACGAAAGAGACAAATGGAAGGGCCATACATGCCGCAAGAGGAAAAACTGTTAGTTTATCAATCCTAAAATGATGATTTTCATTAAAATTCAGTAAGAAAAAGCTTCTTTTTTGACCATTTCCTCTCCCCCTTATTCCTTCCCTCCCCCAAATAATACGTGAAACAGACGATGATATGATTGGAAAACATTACCGGTGTGTTGGACGGTTCGAATACCCGCATTTGTGTTATCGGTGGAAGATTTGCGTACAGTGGAAGAGCTACAATATTACCGGTTACAAGCTTAGATGCTTCCTCGATTTTTTTGCAAGCTGTTTCAATTTCTTCTTGTCCCGTTAAGAAAGCCAGTACATCAGATCTGAAAATAAGTCATCCTGAAATTCTTCAGCAATAACAGCCAGTGTTTTCAAGACAGAAGTCACAAAAAAAATAAATAAATAAATAAATGGCAACGCGCACCAGCCTAGCCGGTGCGATCATGCGTTTTGTGCAATCTAGCCCATCGAACGATTGCCTATTACTGATTTTCACTGCTTTTTACTTTAGTCTATGCAAAAATAGTTCAAACATTGGAAAACAGTTAAGAATTTCACGCACCAGCGTATGAAAGCTGAATTCGAAACCTTGAAAGATGAATGTCTTCCCGTGATTCCAGAGTTAATAGTTTACCCGCCAAAATTTTCACGAGGCCGTAGGTGGTACCCGAGAGCGCGAGAACGCTGAATTTGAATAGGCCCCGCCAAAATTTTCACGAGGCCGTAGGTGGTACCCGAGAGCGCGAGAACGCTGAATTTGAATGGGCGAGGTTGAGCGTGGACAGAGGGTCATTACTGTAAAATTTCAGCTTCCTAGACTCCGTGATTCCCGAGATATCAACTTATCCGTAAAAAACTTTCACGGGGCCGTACGCATTACCTGCGGGTACATGAATTTAAATTTGCGGGGTCACACGTGGGTGGGGGACGTTCCCCTAAATTTTCAGCTTCCTAGCTCTTAATTTAAATTTGCGGAGTCACACGTGGGTGGGGAACGTTACCCTAAATTTTCAGCTTCCTAGCTTTGTGAAATTTGCGGGGTCACACGTGCAGGGCCGTACGCGTTACCCGCGGGTACGGGGAAGCTGAATTTAAATTTGCGGGGTCACACGTGGTGTGGGGAACGTTACCCTAAATTTTCAGCTTCCTAGCTTTTGGGTTCCCGATTTGCGGGGTCACACGTGGGTGGGGAACGTTCCCCTAAATTTTCAGCTTCCTAGCTTTTGTGGTTCCCTTTGCGGGGTCACACGTGGGTGGGGGACGTTCCCCTAAATTTTCAGCTTCCTAGCTTTTGTGGTTCACGAGTTGAAATTTGTGGACAAGTTGCTGCGGACATACACACACACACAGACAACCCCGTGACAATATGCGTTTTGTATTGCTGTTACACAGCACAAAACGCATAAAAAGGAATTTTAGCACGGAAATTGTACCTCATCGGCTCGGTACGATGAATCTGCAGTACTGTTGCAATAACATTGAAAAGGTAATCATCATCTTTCTTATCCAACGAATTTGCATAAAAAACCTGAAGCACTGCACTCGTAGTTTTTAGTTTTACAAAAACCAGATACGTTGAATAACATGGGCTATCGATTCACGGTCTTCGAGCTATCTCCTTGTATGTTTGCTGCAACTAAAATAGCTTGGCTTGGTGGTCCGATTACCGCAGCAACCCTTGTCTTTGCTTTGTTTTTCCATACAAAAGTGCGAAATGAATCCGTTTTTCCAAAATATCTGTTGTCTTCTCAGGTCACTCATCTGCAGCCCTTGTGCCCTCTTTCATGACATCACTTGCAGGTAAGTTATGATTTGTTCATACAAAAATATGATAGTACGAGGCATTTACTTTACAGTTATCTCTTTTTTACGTGTTTTTTTTTCTGCATCTATGCAATGCAAAAATGCATATTGTCGATGGGTTTTCTGTGTGTGTTTGTGTATTCGTCCGTTCCGATTTTTTACTTTGAGACCTACAAAAGTTACAAGGCTGAAACTTTGGGTACTTAATCTACATGTTCGTATAAGCCCTATCCCCAAAAGGGGCATTCTTACCAACGTGGTTCCCATGTACGGGCCCATCAGTTTTAGGCGGATAAGCTGCTAACTCGGGAACCAAAAAAGCTAGGAAGCTGAAATTTTAAACGGATTTTCCCCGTCCACGTAGGTCTCAACGAGTTTAAACCCAGCCTCCGGGCATGCGTCGTTTCTGCGTACGGGCCTGTGAAAGTCTTTTGTGGGTAATTTGCAAACTTGGGAAATTGGAAAGTTAGAGCGCTGGAATTTTAAGAGGATGTTTCCCGTTTACGTATGTCTTAATGAGTTCAAAACGAGCCCCCAGAAATGCGTGGTTCCCACGTATGAGTCCGCGAAAGTTTCTTAAGGGTAAATTGCTAATCCGGGGAAACTGAAAAACTAGAAAGCTGTAATTTTAAGGGAATGTTCCCAACCCATGAAGAATCTAGTGACTTCAAGCTATGCCTCAGTTGCGTGTAGTTCTCATGTACGAGACAGTGAAAATTTTTCGCGGATAAATTCGAGAACTGGGAAAGCTAGAAAGCCAAATTTTAAGGGAATCTTTTCCAAAAATCCTGTCGGCCAGTCTCAATTCTTTTAGCTACAAGCACCTGTCGGAAAAAACAATGTCGCTAGCGACAAAAACCTGCGGGTAACTACGGAAAAAACGCATCTTCGCACCAGCGGTCGGTGCGTTGGCCAATTATTGAATATTGAAAAATCGCGAATTAAACGGAACAGTTTTGTTACCTGGACTGGATATGTTCTCCCTTGAACAAAAAACACCGGTGCATTGTCAAAATACTCGGAAAGTGCATCAGTTTCTAGTGTCGCAGACATAATAACAATCTAAAAATGGTCTTGAATTTCCCAAATATAAAAAAAGAACTTCGCCAGAATTTCTTAAAACCACAAAAAAATTAAAAAAATTTTCACCAATTACAAGGTACGCAAATTTCTACACTCACTGAGCAA